CGGTAGGGACTGAGTTGAATTAGCTATGTCCATTGGTATGTTCGATTGCACGATAACTGAAAAATGAATAACACAATTGACACCAAACTTTCTTTGTAATTGGGCCAATTCGGACAATGGGTTCGGGTAGCTGCCATACACTGAAAAAACAACCCATTGTTAAATTGACAAAACTAAATTTGTAAGGCTTTTGTTAAATATTTTTGTCAATAAGACGAAAATTTGTCAATCCAACCTAGATGGCATTATCAATTTGAATAAATATTTATCAAAATGACAAAATTATATTGTTCATCAAAGAACTTAATGTCGTACAAAGCGACTTTGTCTAATTGACAATATAATTTCTTTAAAGTGACAATTTTTTTTTAGTTTCAACAATGTTTTTGTCAATTTAAAAAAAGCTTCAATTTACAAATTTACTGCCCTGTTTTTGTTATTGCGACAAAAAATTTTTGTCAAATTACTAGTACATTTTTAGAGCTACATGCTCTTAAAAAATATATTTTGTCCATTTTACAAGATTCTTTGTAAAAATTTTTCAATTTCGATAATTCGCCGTTATTTTCAATGTAATTTTGTTGAGCTGAAAAAAATATTTGTCTCTTTTACAAAAATATAAAAATAAGAAAAAAAAGCAACACAATATGTTTTGTCTATTCTTCTTTTTTGAATTTGTTAATTTGTTTTAAAACACAAAATAGAAAAAACAAAACCAAACTTGTTTTTTCTATTCTTTTTCTTTTCTAAAACTTTTTGATTTAATATATACATAAGTTCATACATACATAATTTTTGCAATATATGTAAGTTCGTCAAAAATTTATTGGCGTCATCTATAAAAAGTAATTCATGTCGAAGAATTTGTTTTTTAAGGGACCGTTATTTTCGATATAATAGGTTTAAGCGAGAAAATCATTGTCAATATGGCAAATTGTTTATTATAAAGTCTTGGAAACAAATAATATCACTTATCGTTTGGTTTTTGAAGTGTACGCTCATAATATTTGAAAAGTAAAGTTTGCAATAATTTGGTATTAATTATCAAAGTGAAATTTAAAGGTGAAAATATTAAAAGTAAAAAATTATACTAAAGTTAAGCTATAAAAAATTTAAAAAAATTGTTTATCAATAGCGTTATGGTATTATTAAATATAATCAGAATCTGAATATTTGGAATTACGAAAAAAAAGTAATAATTTTATTGATAAAAAATGATTTGTTATACACATATGCCGTAGTGAACTATTCTCAATAAAGTCTTTAATAGCTAATAAATTAATAAGCGGAAGACTAATGATAAGAAGTAAAGAAAAGTTTTAAGTTGTATTTACTAAATTCTATTCAATTCAGGTAGTATATTTTGAAATAAGATGGAATCTCATAAAATACTTACACAAGCAATAGAACCTGATCAAAATAATATCTCAAATAATACAAATCAAATAACCATATCCGGCAATTCATATATAACTTTGGAAGGAGTACCGTCGTCATCACACAATATGGAAGTCGAATCAAGTACATTGCCAAAAGAAGATTTTGAAGTCTTAAATCTATTAAAATTGTGAGGTGTAGAAATATTATACTCCAAATACTTAGGTAAAAAGATTTTTGTTTGTTCTAACAATTAAATAATTTTTTTAATTTGTTTTCAGATAAAGGAATTAATTTGGATGTTTTAAAAATAATGTCTTCAACATATACAGAAATTTTTACTCGTAGGTATATAAATATACTGGGGTATATAAATTACGTACACGTGTGGAATTGGAAAATAACTTGCGAAATTGGCAAGAAGAAAACGGGAACGAATTTATTTTTTAAAATACTTTTAAAAAATTTTTTAAATTTTTCTGTGAGGTTGATATAACTTACTCAAGTAATATTCAACTCAGAAAAAACTATGTGTACAAAAAAAGTAATAGAAGTTGATATCGAAGAAATATTAGAAAATACAACATATAGGACAATCTCTACTAGATAATTCAAAGAGATGTAAAAATGACTGTGCAATTAGTTGAAGGTATTGCAGACCAAATTGTTAAATTGTTTCCTATGGAACTAAAAGTAAGAAATAGAAAATTTTAATATTGGAAAACTATTGTAATACATTTAATTCTTTTATGATTCTTCTGTTAGGAAATATATTTCTTACGATGTACAGGAAAAGCTCCTATGGGAAAAATTTATTTCAAACTTGTAAGTTTGAAGCAAAATCATCAAGCGATTCAGCCAATTATATTAGTTGCTGGTAATATTTTTGACCCTGATGATATTATTGTATATTTTGAGGAAATTAAATTTAAATTCACTAACATTTTACATGCTGTTGAAATTACAAGTACAAATACTTAAATCTTATGTAATATTTTGTAAAGTTTCATAAATAACTTTTATATTATAAGAATTAATAAGTACAAATATAAAATAAATGATAAATTAAAAATGACAAAAATTTTGTTTATTTGAAAAATTATTTTTAGTTGATTGAACAATATTAATTAGTTTAGACGACAAGAGTATTTTGCTAAATTGACAACAAAAATTGTCAGATTGAAAATTAATTTAGTCATATTAACATGTAGACGTTTTTAATTGGACTAAAATATTTTTTCTATTTAACAATACTAACTGTCAAGTTGACTGCAATCATTGTCAAAATGAAAATTTAACTTTGTCATCTCAACAAAATACCCTTTTTCAATAAGAATAAATTTTTTTTTCACTTTGACAAATCCGATTGTCAAACTGACTAAAGTATTAAAGCTTTTGTAAAATTTTGTCAATTTTACACAAAGTTTTTGTTGACCGTATAGTGACAAAAAATTTGTCGAATCAAATGCTTTTTTTGTCAATCTTACTAAGACTTTTTTTTCAGTGATACAACTGAAAAAAAAGGTTTTTTTTTATAAATTTTAAAAACTAACAAAGATATTAATATCAAAATTTGCAAAGATGTATCCAATTACACTTTACACATGTCCTGAATTTTAATGGAACTATTCAACTGGTTCGGGTAGCTGCTATACAAATCCAAAAGCTAATTTTAAATATTTGGAAAAATAATAAAGTCAGATTTATGAAACTTGGCAGTTATGTGTCCAATCATAGTTCACATATATCCTTGAAGTTTTGGTGGAATGGCTTGACGAGTTCGGACAGTTGCCATGGAACTCCAAGAGCTAGTGAATTAAACACATGCGCAAGAAAAAAAAAAGTGTTCGTTTTTACTATGCCGAGGCAGATTTTTTCAAAATTATAGTTTCAAATAGAATATTGCAGCAAAAACGAATTTCAGAATTACTAAACCCGATAACTTTTTTAATTGTTGAGCCGAGAGTTTACCAAGAAAATCTGCTAAGTGCATCTTTCAATTTTCAAGTTAAGCGACAGGAGTAGTGTCACATATTTATTATCTAACCGAGATTAAATTGAAAGTATAAAAAATCTGTTTATAGAATCTTGACAAATTGTTTCAAAATAATAAAAAAAATTACAAATAGATCAACAAGTAATAGATCAAGGAACAATTTTAACAAAAAATACTTAAAATGAAAAATAGTTAAATGAATGTAATAGTTTGACATATTCATCAAATAAAAACTATATAGTTTTATTTAATAATTGTACCATTGTAATATCAAGTTTCCAAATAAGAATAGAGAATTCAAACATAACATCATCACCCAAATTATTTTCATATAAAAAGTCTAACTAATAGTTTTATAATATAAATTTTAAATTAAAACAAATAGAGAATAATAAAGAAATTGAGGAATTATATTACAAGAGAAATATTAACGATCATTTTACTTATATTAATTTAATTTTTATCGTTGCGTCCTAATATATTTCCAAATGAAAACAAGAAAGGTTATAAAACCATTTTTTATAAATTATGTTGATCTGAAAGAAATTAAAGAAGTTGTTCACGAGAATAAGAATGTTAACAATGGGGGAGTTTATATCCAAGTTATCGAACCCTCGAAGAAATCATAGAGTCAAATTCCAAGATTTCTATTAACTCTAATTTAACTCTCTAAAACTAATTTTATTTTTTTCCAATGAATTAAAACTCAAAATGTTAATAATTATATTTTTATTTTTTCGCCTAATTTTACTTTAAGATTATTTCACACGGTTCTGACAAAACATTGTAAAATAATATTTTTTTTTTATAATTGCTTTTTTTGAATCTCAGATTTTAATAATGAAAACTAAATAAACATATTTTTTCCTTGTAAATCAATTTTTGTTTTAAGTGCAAAAGACTGATTTCGAAACGTCTTATAAACAAGTACATGATATTAGAACCTTTTTGGTTCTAGTAATAAAATTAATAATTATTTTTTAAAAATAAGTTTTCTTTAGTTGTAGGACTAGCCATAAGCCAATAAAAATCTTAGTAAAAAGAATTAAAATAATTATATAATATTCTTTTTTGTGTAAATTTTTCTTTTGACAAGTAAAAGTTGTAAAATTCAAATTTTGTTTCGTTAAAATTATTAACGAATACAATAATAACAAAAGTGATATAAACAGTTAACTTAAAAAACAAAATTAAACTAGCATGCGCAACCAGACAAACCTTCTGAAAATAGCATGCGCAACCAGACATTTTTCTGAAAATATATTATTTATGATTTCCTACTATAGAGTTTCTTACCATGTGTTTAACCGAAGACCCGATATTAATTCAAAAATTGGCATCATTTTTTTGATAAATTTTTTTGGGGGCGGGGTGAAGGATGGACTTTTCAAACTTTTTTTTATGTTTAAACTCTGGACAAAATCAGCAATACTTGTTTTGAATTGTGTCTGTCTAGCTACCAAACTACAGACCTGCTTTTACAAATGGTTTTGCAACAAATTATTTACTATTTCGTTATATTGATGTGTTATGGTTACAATTGTATTCTATTTGTTACACTAGCATTGTCCAAAAAGTTTTTTTCTAAATTTTTCCAAATTAATGATTCCAATTTAAATTATTTTAGAGATTTTCGTCCAACAACATTGGAAAGGAATCAAGAAAAGTTGCGATTGATTATTTATAGTATTTATGCGTGGGGTGGATCTGTCACGATTGCTGGTGTGGCAGCTATTTTAGATCAACTTCCTGACGATCCCAACTATAATTTTCTTCGACCACGATTTGGTGAACATCACTGTTGGTTCTATGGTAAGTTACAATTCTAAAATAAAAGTTAAAATAAAATTTATCACATAAAATGCAAATTGAAAAAATTCGTAATGACATAAATTATGTTGGAAGAATTTAGATTTTTAAGATTCATGTAAAAATACCAATATTTGTACTCTTCACAAATATTGGAAATTTAATTTTTTGTGCTTTTGACGTTTACCTTATTTTGATCTAAAAATGGAAAAAAATGCAAAGGTGAAGTTAGAACTTTTTCAAAAGTTAATAGTAGAGCGGAGTACTTAAGAAATATTTTCATGGTTTCAATTAAATTACTCTTCTCTTTTACCTTCTCGTATTTGATTATATTACCAATGTTATTTTTATGTACCCTTCTTACTTAACATTTTGAAAATTTTAACTCACAAACTTATTTGTATTGGTAATGACTATGAACAATAATTGCAATAAATTAATAAGTTGTTGTAAAAAACAACACTTTTACTTGATGTTTTAAAATAATTTTACAATTTAAGAACTTCTCTTTGACATTGTTACATGGTTTCTTCATTACTATTGACTCTGTTATTAGTTACGATGTAAAAGAATCAACAGAATTTTGACATGACTAAAACAGATATCTAGATATCTTCATATAAAACTTCGGAATACACAATTTGCTAATACTTACATACGGTGTGTTGAAAATTGATGATCATACTTTTTGTTGAGAATTGTATTCTTTTATTAAGTATTTTCGAATAAATGAGAAATCTGCATGATGATTTGAGATTTTTGAAAAATTAACAAGTAAAAACGTTTCACTCGGTATAAACCGATTGAATTATACCCTGCACCTTTCGTTATTGTATAGCAATTACTCGAACCTGTGAAATCAGTCTATAGAAACTTCACGGATCTGTCTGACCTATAATTAGACATCCGACTACCAAGTTTCATGAATCTGACTTTATAATTTTTCCAAATATTTAAAATTAGCTTTTGGAGTTGTATGGCACATACCTGAACCTGTCAAGCAATTCCATCAAAACTTCACAAATATATCTGATCTATAATCGGACACACAACTGCCAAGTTTCATGAATCTGACTTTATTATTTTTCCAAATATTAAGAATAAGCTTTTAGACTTGTATGGGAGCTACTGGAACCTGTCAAGCAATTCCACCAAAACTTCAGAAATATATCTGACCTATACCTCGACACACAACTGCCAAGTTTCATGAATCTGACTTTATTATTTTTCCAAATATTTAAAATAAGCTTTTGGAGTTGTATGGCAAGTACCCGAACCTGTCAAGCAATTCCATCAAAACTTCAGAAATATGTCTGACCTGTAATTGGGCACACGACTGCCAAAACTCATGAATCTGACTTTATTATTTTTCCAAATATTTAAAATAAGCTTTTAGACTTGTATGGGAGCTACTCGAACCTGTCAAACAATCCCACCAAAACTTGAGAAATATATCTGGCCTATAACTCGACACACAACTGCCAAGTTTCATGTATCTGACTATATTATTTTCCCAATATTTAAAATTAGCTTCTGGAGTTGTATGGCAGGTACCCGAACCTGTCAAGCAATTCCTCTAAAACTTCAGAAATATATTTGACCTATAATTGGCAACATGACTGCCAAGTTTCATGAATCTGACTTTATTATTTTTCCGAATATAAAAAATTTGCTGTTGGAGTTGTATGGCAGCCACCCCAACTGGTGCAGCTATCCCATTATAATTTTTAGAGCATGTGTAGAATATAATTGGACATATGTATACAAAATTTTATATTTATAGCTTTATTAGTTTTTGAAATATTTAAAATAAACTCTTTGAGTTGTATGGACGCTACCCGAACCCGTTGTCCGAATTAGTCCAATAACAATAGGGCTCGTCCTTGGCACAAAAGAAAAAACTTGTGAAAGTTTGGTGTCGTTTGCATTATTCGTTTTTGAGTTATCGTGCGATCGGACGGACGGACGGCCAGACATGTCTAAATCGACGCAGAATTTTACGCTGAGCAAGAATATATATATATGTCCATACCGCAGATGACTCCTTCAAGTAGTTACCAACTCCATACCAAAGTTAATATACCCTTCGCGAAGTGCAGGGTATAAAAACAATTAATTTTTTACACTGAAATTATTCTATTTCCTTTAAATAATAAAAAAATGAAATTTCATGTTCTTGCATACTATAGGTAACAAAACATTTTCCAGGTAAAACAAAAACAGTAAATACATAAAACAAATTGTTTTTGGAAAAAATTCTTTGAATTGACATTAAAGCTATTTTTCTTAAAGCTAGTAATATTTGATAACAAAACATATATCATCACATGGTATATTCATCTAAATTACACAACAAAAAATTTAATTTTCTTTTGTTGAATTGATTAGTCCAATTTGTTTTTCTTAATACTTGTGTCCATTCTCTTTTTCTGGTAGATTGTTGCTTCCGTATACTGCAAACGTAATCAAATACATATATAACCATATTTTATATAAATATGCGTACAATAAAAAGTTTAAAAAATACGCCAAGTCTTACCTTTTTTTTTTTCCTTATTCACTCCTAGAAGGAGCATAGGGCTAGTGCATGATTTCTCATGCACTAGTTTCATAGCGTCATAGAGTTTTAACTAGGTAGGTGACTAGCCTGCCGTATAAGTCTTACCTTAATAAGACAATTTTTCTTTTCAAATAAACTTTAGTATTATTTTTTCAAAAGTACTCTATTTTATACGAAGTATTATGAACAAAAGATTTAATTAATATAAATTGCAAATCTTCATTTTATTTATTTAACACAAATAATATACATAATAATTCACCAAATTTATATTAAACTTAAATTTTAAACAACAAATAAAATTGTTTTACCGCTCATCGATATATTCTTCCTGTATAAAATTGATAAAGAATTTTAATAGTTTTTTATTTGTAAAAACTTTCTATGCACACAAATGGAAAAATATCAAGATGGTGCATTATGAGTTCATGATACTAGCCTAAAATTTATATAAAAAGAACAAAAAAAAATTTCTTTTTCCTTTAAAAAGCAAAAGGGGAGTGAAAAGAGAAACCAATACCTATAATCATAATTTTTATACCTATATACGAACGTACGTATTATGTTTGAAGGGTGTTATAAATTTCCCACCCCGTTTGTAACGCTAAGAAGTAATGGTGTGTGATATAGACGCAAGTATATATTTTTGGTTTCTTATTTCAAATCCAGAAAAGTCAGAACTGTAATTAAATTAGATGTGATCGAAACAGTGGTTCGGGTTGTTGCCATGCAATTTCTAATTTTATATGGTCATTTTTAGCACTTTTCCAAAAAATTTTTGAAAAAAAGTGGTTATTAGTTTCAGTCTGTCCGTCCGTCCGTCCAACCGTCCGTCTGTCCGTGTGTCTGTTTACGAAACTTCTACACCCTTGAAGATAGAAAGCTGAAATTTTATATGTACATAGACCTTTACTAGAAACTTATTTTCGTAGAACAAAATTTTTACCTATCTCCCCCCTCTAGATGTTATACCCCCCCAAAACCCTAAAAATGGCGTTTTTTAAATATTCGTTGCAATGAAACCATAAGCATTTTTGAAATTTTTCAAACGCAGAAAGGCGGTGGGTTGCTTCCCCTAGCATGGTATACTATAGTTAAACTTTAGAAAGACAAAATGGCCGCTCAAATTTACCGTTATTTAAAGCCCTTTTTTCCCAAATTTTTGCTTTCGTTTTCCTTCTAAACCCCAGCCTGTAGAAACTTGAAATTAGGGGCTTTTAGACATTAACAAATAGTTCATTTCGTTAGAAGAAAATGTTTTTCCATCTTCACCCCCTCCCAAGTTATCGCCTTTTGAAATTTGTAAAATTTGAATTTTTGACACTTTATATTTCCGAAACCGCAAGCTTTTTCAAATTTCTATAAACACAAAAAGCTAACGGTAAATTCCATGACATTTAAAAAATATAATTATTTTTCTTAACTCACACAATTAAAGCTTAAAATCGAGCATTATGTTAACCCCATTTTATATTAATTTTTGCTTTATTTCATAGACTGCATGTATGCATGATCCTAAATATATGCAATCCTAGAAATAGTTTCGTTTATGAATGAAAATAATTTTAATAGTGTGGTGGATATATAAAGACCGTATTTAAAAGCAGTATTTTCACTTGTTGAAGGGAAAAGTGCTACAATACAAACCATAGGTTTGACCAAACTTTATTTAAAAACTGTTGAAGCCACAGTTACTGAAATTTTGCAAAACTAAATACGGTAAATATCAAGGTTGAATTCTAAATTTATTTGTACCTTAGAAATTATTGAATATATTATTAGGGCTTGGTTTGATAGATGTTGAAACTGCTTGACTCATGTAGCTATCATACAGTTTCAAAATGTATTTAATCAATGCCAATTTCTTCATACAACTGCAGAACAGCTGGAGGACGTAATCAAAGGAACGAGTTAAAGGCAGAAAAATGAAAAAAATTTTCTCCTCGAACTGGATTCGAACCAGTGACCTACCGTCTTCTAGGTAGCGTGAAATTTTTCAATATATTTTTATATCATTGGTAGCAGAGATGTCGGCCTATATATCTTTGTCTGTTTGTCGTATTGTGTATACAATAGGTAGGTTATGTGATGGCAACAAATTTTGCATATCGAGTTTTCGGTGGGAACGTATTTCTCCATAGTAGGGAAGTGCAAATAAACTATTTTTAGCAACCTGTCGGTTTGTCGGTCTGTCGGTCTGTCTATCTGTCGGTCTGTCCGTCTTTCGGTCTGTCGGTCTGTGTGTGCACGTGTGTATCTCAAGTTCTACTGAACCGATTTTTATGAAATTTTATATGTAAGTTTATTTCCACCATGGCACGGATCGATCAACATTTGGGATATATCAGGCCTCAGGAACTGCACTTTTTAGCGGGCCTGTTTTACATATTTGAACATTTTGAAGAAACTATTCAACAGATTTGCTTGAAATTTCATATATAAGCTTCGCTCGACCGGCCCCAAAACCTCCTAACTTTTGGAAGAAATCAGGCTTCAGCAACTAGACGTTTACTACGGGCCAAATATACATTTTTGCGTATATAAAGAGAAATAATCAACCGATTTCATTGAAATTTAATATATGAATTCCTCGTATTAAAAGAATGAACATATAAATTTTTTGGAAAGATTAGGGCTCGAAAACTGATCTGCGGGCCGATTCTACATTTTTCACCATATCTACGGAACTAATTGATAGAATTTCTGGAAATTTGATATTTGAGTTCTGGTTGTTACCGAAACTAACTGACGAGCATTTCAGGGAATTCGGGTGGCACAAAGTGAAACTCTATTAAGAGCCAAATTTACATTTTTCTAGGTATGTTAACTATAAGCTTACTAATGTCCTAGAAATTGGAAAGAAGTATTTAACAGACATTTTTATAATATTCTGTAACACTTTCACTTAACTAGACAATGCACAATGCGGTCGGTTATGTGCTGACCACATCAGATTTTTTTTAAATGGTTTGCAAACATTCAGATTTCTTTTTATTGATTTTTGCCCATAATCCATCTACTTTTTCAATGGATATACTCGCTTTGTCGGTTTCTTAGTATTCCTTATTTACCGATAAACGTGTTATGTAGTTTTGGTATAATATTGATTTAAAATTTGCTATTTTTCATTTTGGTGTTGGGGCAAGTTTATTGACAAACGCCTTTCTTTTTGTACTATTAAATTTTGTACTATATAAATTAAATCAGCTATAAGTTTTGGGATAATTGTTTGATATAGGTTTGTATTCAGAGAATCTTGTATTTTTTCAGCCGGCTGTATTAATTAAAAAAAGCCTTCCACTTCGGAATTTATTTGACCTTTATTTTGTAATTCAAAATTTACATTTCTAATTTTAATAACATCATGTTTAAAGCTAACGCAATGAGTTACGATCGATATCTCGCCGAGGAAAGTCGTGAAATTTTGCATTACTTTTACTATTATTAAAAAGTTGTCATATTCAATAAATAACTATTCACTATTGTGTCACTTAATAAATTAAAGTATTTTGGATATAATTCGAACTGTAGATTGCACATTATAAGTGTATAATACATATATACAATAAAAAATCGGATGTTCTGTAGTGCTGGTGGTACTTTACCACATGGTTTCAGCACAAAAAAACGATGATATAAATAATATAAAGGATATAGTAATATAAAAATGCAACACAAAAATTAGTGCAAGCTAATAAAAAACTGTTGCAAGATAATTCTTCTTTGAAAAGGCAGTTGCAAAAATTGCAAAAGCAGGTTGATGAATTACTATCAAAGAATAATTCTGACCAAAATATTAATCAAAAGGCATCCAGCTCTTATGTTCCTAGCGTTAGTGATATGGAGCTGGATTATGGTGAGAATAATTTATGTTCAGATAGATTATCCATTGAAAGTGAGGTGGATTCAAATTTTATTGAAGTCCTACGAAAGAAAAATTAAGTAAAAAAAACAAAACACCTGGAAATAATGAAAACAATTCTAAACTTACAAACTCAATTTGTCAAAACATAGCAGGTACATCAAACTCCAGCAACATTAGCAGCAATAACACCAGCAACAATGTAAATAACAACAACAAAAGAAACAAAAATGTTCCACCTATAGTTATTGACTCGGAAGATTTACCTACAATAAAAAAACTAATTAAATGCCAATTGAAAATAAATAATTTTTTGATAAAATCAACAAATAAAGGAAGACACACTTTATATACACAAAATATTGAAACTTTTAAAACTATTTTTGAATCTTTAAAACAAGCTAACGTCGAGTGTTTTTCTTATACACTAAAATCTAAAAAATTAGAATTAATCTAAAACTGAAAGGTTTACATACTAACTACACGACTACACACCTGACGATATGCTGTCATTAGCGATTGTAATGTACTTACTACATTACAACGACTACACACCTGACGATATACTGAAATTACTTAATAATTTAAAAATTGATAATGTCACTTTAAACTTTAAGAAAGTTTTCCGTTCGAACACAAAAAAAGCAACTTTTGAAAATAAAAAGTTGCCAATATACATCGTGCAAGCGGGACATGATAGCAATGTGTCAAGTATATTTGCCATAAAACGTATTGAGAATCAAATAGCAACTGGGAAAAATTAAAAAAGAAACCAATCGCTCAGTGCACTAGATGTCAGCGTTTTAACCATTCATCCTACAACTATAATATGGAACCTAATGGACAGTTAATTGCAGTTTATCTAAGAATAGTCCAGCTGATAAATTATTCTGCATTTTATGTAATAAATATGGTCACCTTGCTTCTTATCGTCAATGTCAAAATTATGTTCAAAGAGAAGAGAGAATACAAACACAACATAAAAACAAAATTACAAAAACTGTAAATAATGTAAATAATATACAGAACTATGTTAACTCAAATTTATCATTTGCTAATGTAGTTGCTGCAAATAATAAAAATAATATTAATATAATCTAGGTATAATATGAATAATATGAATAGCAATTAATAGTATGAATAGAAATTTATTTACAAATGTTACCTCTACTACTGGAATGAACTCAAAAATTACATTACAGAGTGTTATGTTAATTTTAACAGGTTTAAATCAAAATTTCACCACTTTATATAATCGCTTTAATCAGTTAGATGAAAAGGTTAATGGGATTTCTGAGATAGTAGATTTTCTTATGGAGAATATCCATGACTGAAACAACTCCAAATAAACATAATATTAAGTTAAATTCTATTAACGTAAATTCATGTAGATCGCTTGCAAAACAATTTTCGTTGATTTACTTTCTTTCCAAAAATAATCCAGATGTTGTTGCTTTATGTGAAACATGATGCCAATATACTTTTATCTTTAAGAAATTACAAAATAGTTAGACATGATAGACCAACAGTTAATATAGGAGGTGGTGCGGCTTTACTTGTTAAAAAACATAAGATTTGAGCAAATAAATAATTCTAATTTTACGTCGTTTCAATGTCTAGAGGTTTTTGCAATAAAAATAACTATACAAAGCAATAATTTTCTATTTATTGTATCAGTTTATGCATCTCTTAGAAATACCGAAACTTTTCAAAATGAATTTTGCAGAATGAAATTTTATTTATACCATCGCTTTGAGTGCATATTTTAGGTTTTGACAAATATAATAATTATTATGTGATTTGTGACGATATTAATGCGAAATACCAGGATTGGGGTAACTTACAACATAATGCCCGTGGAAAATTCTTAAAAAAATTTCTCGACGAAAAAAAAATTTTATATAGAATGGCTTTATATGCTCTAGATTTACCTTCTTTTCCTAAAAGTAAATCATTTTTGGACTTGATAGTGACTGATGCTAAACTGAATTTTAAAATATCTACTATGAGGAAATTGGAAACGCTAATTTATGACAGCGACCACTTGGCTATAAGCACTGATATTTCCTACAAAGATTTTGAGAAATTCTTATTTGAACTTCCAGAAGTTCATAATCATTATCTATACAATAAAGTGAATTGGAACAAATTAAAAAAAAATATAGATAAACAGGTACTATTAAACAATGATATTAGGGAATTACCTGATAACAAAAATTTAACAAAATTCGAAATAGATATGTTTTTAAACAAAATAGAGCAAATAAATCAAAATGCCATTCGAATTGAAATTCCTGTTTTCAATCCGAGAAATAACAGTACCGATTTGTACAATTCCATTTTATGTAGATTAAGAAAATATAAAAGTCAATTGCTATCTGCAATATATGCCTTACTTAAAAATCTTCCAAATAGAAATCATCAAACAATTATAAGAACTACCGCATTTCTTAAAAATGTTAGTATTTTGATTAAAGAAAATTTAAAAATTTCGATTAGTAATCACTGGGAAAAAAGAATAAAAAATATCAAAAGCAGTAACAGTAAAAGTACGTTTCCTGAAATTAGAAAAATTTATAAAAAATATAATTGTGAAAACCTAAAAAAACTAATTATATAACGATAATATTAATATATTAGTTAATGCTGGTATTAATTTGAATTCATTGGAAAAACATAGTGCTAATTTTATAATTGAAAATACTGATGATTTATTAAATACTATGGGATCACATTTATCATTAGTACATCGCGAAATGCCTACAGAAATTCTGCAATTACTGATAAAGTTAACTCTGCGATTTCTAATTTCAATACAATAACGCAAGAGTACGAATGCAATGAAATAACACTAGTCGAATTCAGTAAAGAATTAAAATCAAATAAAATTTCCAGTTTGCAAAACAAAGACAATTATTTCACAACTTTAGAGAACTTAAAATCAAGAGAAAGAACCGAACAGTTTGCTGGAAAAATTAGAAAAGCTAGATCCAAATAAACAACGGTCAATGCAGATAGAGCTATGGTACGCTTAATTAAAAAAGATAGTTTTCTTAGATCAACAAAGATTCAGCAATAAATAAAAAAAGATTTAAATTTAGAAGTGTCTGCGAGAACTATTAGAAGACGTTCATTAGACACCGGACTCAGAGGGTGCATTGCCAAGAAGAAACCCCTTGTGTTTTTCAAAAATAGAAAACGTCGTTTAAAATTTGAAAAATATTTTATGGACTCATGACAGTAAGTTTAATAGAGTCTGTAGCGATGGTAAATGCTACGTTCGTCGTTGGAAAATGAGTCTTGCAACCCACTATAAGGTCTCTTATAGTGGGTTGGAACGTACGGAGTACGCTCGATAGTGAAAATAAGGGAAAATTTTGCTTTTTTAATTTTTAAAAATTACGGTGTCTTATTTAGTTGGCCACTAGTGTATAATTTAAATCATACTTACTAACCTTATCACGTCTAAATATTTCCTTAAGTGTGTTTGTGATATAAATCGATATTCTTAGTTTTAAGACATTCATATTTTTTACTTACAACGTTCCACATAGCAATTTATATTTTATGTTTTACATTCATAATCTACCTTGACATAAATTATTGGGTAATAATTTAATTGCTGAAGTGAGAGCACGTAAACTAATCTTACTTGGGTAATATTTCCTTTTAGTTATTTTTTTTAAATTTTACTTTTAATCTTATTTTTTAAAATAAATTTCTTAAAATAATGATTGAAGGGCTAGTTACGATAATAATTCAAAAGAAATAAAGATTGCCTAAATTAAAAGAAATCTGTTACAATAATTTTAAAATAAAGATGCAAGGTATGTTTGATGTAAATTTATTTAAACAATTCGTGAAATATTACATTAGAATTACTCAAGACATATGAACAAATCCAGGTTGGCGTAAATAAAGATTCAAATATAACCAGGCGCGGTCCTAATATATTCGTCGCCCTAAGCGGTTCCTAAAAAATGCGCCCCCCCCCTTCAACCGTTTCACCTATTTTATTACTGTGAACAAAATTTAATAGGCATTGCACATTGTGCATCATAAAGCACTTTCTTGTAGTATAATAAAGTTATGCTGAATTATAGAATTAAAGTCTGGCACTAAACTTTCAATTTTTTGTTTTATAAATTCAAAAACAAGATAATTTGTTTTATTTGTATGTTTTTTATGAAGTTATGATCAGATTTATATCAATCATTTAAACTTGATTTTTTGATTTTAACAACCAAAAAATTTACTTTTTGATGTAAGTGAAACTTATTGTAAAAGGTTCTATGAAAATTATATCAAATGAATTTTTTCAAAGCTTATTTGAATATGAAAAAAAGTAAAAATTTATTTTTATTCGTAATTTTAAATTTACGAATAAAATTTGGCTTTTTATTTCACAAATCGCCTGAGAAATGAAGCAGCCTATAAAAAAAGTTACGACTTGCATTCAAAAATTTAAGGAAAATCAAAGTTTCGTTCTAAAATTTGTGACTTAAAAAATAAGCTTTTTATTAAACAACATTTTTTCAATTCAATATAAGTAGTAGACATTACCAATTAATATTTAATTCTGTGATTGATAACAGTTTTTTCAAGCAAAACATAGTATTAGAAATTCATAACGATCATGTAATTTTGAAATTCATTCAAAATTTTTTGTTGTTAAACAAAAAGAAAGTATTGGTATACACAATCTCAATATCAAGCTATGCATTCCATTATTTAAGAATATTGCTCTCATTCTCTTTTTCTAATTTCTTTCTATTCTCATTCTTAATTTTTGTTTTTTTTTGTTTTGTTCTTGTTGTTTACTAATGCAATAGTATACAGAAAAAGTAATACATTATAATAATGTGTTTGTTTGTTTGGTGAGTGGGCGACAACTAAGCATAAATAAAATTTTGCATATATGAAACAATTTAAATATAATGTGTTCGAACGAGTGTAGCCAGGGAGATCACTATGCATAATAAAAATTTTGCTTTGTGATATAATTATATGTGTACGAGCGAGTGTTGATAGGGAGCAATCTCAGCAAAATAAAAATGTTGCTTTATGAGATAATTATACGTGTTCGCATGAGTGTTGATCTTATTCATATTAAACAATATAAATTATGTGTGCATGTGTATTTTTGAATATTTTTATTTTTTGCGTACTTGCTTCTATGTATATTATATGAGACGATTTCACTTATGTATATGTTGGATTGTATGTGTACAGCTGTATATTTTCTGTTTATAGGCATAATATTAATATTTTCTGTTTATAGTAAAAATTAATAATTGCAATTCTGATGATTCATATATTGAAAAAAATATTTTGTGTATTCGTACAATAAATAAAAATAAAAGAGAAGTGTAGAGTAAGAAAATGTGTGAATAATTTTTATTCTATGAACATTTCATTGTACGCACGCGAAAGGAAAATATATGAAGACCAATACTTAGTTTGACCATTTTTTTTCATGCACATTTTTTGTATTATTAGGAATAAAATATTATGTTTGTATGTAGGTACATTTTATCAAGTTAATTTCGCTGTA